ATTCCTTTTTTTTTTTTTCCCACAGATTGAGGGTTGTGGCAACTCTACATTGAGTGAGTCTATTGGCACCATTTTCCCTACAGCATTTCCTCACCTCCTGTCTCTGTGTCACATTTTGGTAATTCTCACATCATTTTAAACTTTTTCGTTGTTATGGTGACCTGTGTTGAGTGACCTTTGATGTTACTATTGTAATTGTTTTGGGGGACCACGAATCATAGCCATAAAAGACAGTGAACTTAATCCAGAAATGTATGAGTTCTGACTGCTCCACCGACTGGCCATTCCTCCTTCTTTCTCCCTATCCTTGGGCCTCTCTATCCCATGAAACATAATAACATTGAAATCAGGCCAATTAATAACCCTAGAATGGCCTCTAAGTGTTCATGTGAAAGAGTCTCTCACTTTAAAGCAACAGCTAGAAGTGATGAAGCTCAGTGAGGAAGACTTGTCAAAAGCTGAGATCGGCTGAAAGCTAGACCTCTTGTGCCAAATAGTTAGCCACGTTGTGAATGCAAAGGAAACGTTCTTGAAGGAAATGAAAAGTCCTACTCCAGTGAACACATGGAAAGTGCAACAGCTTAATTGCTGATGTGAAGAAAGTGTTAGTGGTCTGCATAGAAGGTCAAACCAGCCACAACATTCCCTTAAGTCACAGCCTAATCCAGAGCAAGGCACTAACTCTCTTCATTCTGTGAACGCTGAGAGAGGTGAGGAAGCTGCAGAAGAAAAGCGTGAAGCTTGCAGAGGTTGATTCATGAGAGTAAGGAAAGAAACTCTCCATAACAGAAGTTCAAGGCGAAGCAGCAAGGGCTGATGTAGAAGCTGCAGCAAGTTATCCAGGAGATCTAGCTAAGGTAATAAATGAAGATGGCCGCACTAAACAACAGGTTTTCAATGTATACATACATATATATGTGTGCTTTTGTGTGTATATACATATATGTTACATACATTATGTAAAATATTTTTTCCATTGTGACCCTTATCTCTAAATATTTCAGTATGTATTTCCTAAGAATAAGTACCTTCTCTTACATAACCACAGTACAGTCATCAACTTAAGGAAAAATTTGACATTAATAAATACACTTATCTACCTACCATCTATATTCCAGTTTTTTTCATCTGACCCAGCCATGTCCAGTGGGGATCCGTTCTAGGATCCCATATTGCGTTTGTCTCCTCTAATCGGGATTCCTTGGCTCATCTTTGTCGTTCGTGATACTGATATTTTTTTAAAGGCAGCAGTTCTGTTTTAATAGCATGTTTCTCATTTGGCATTTGCCTGATACTTCCTCTTGGTTGGATTCAGGTTAAGCGTGTTCAGCCAAACTACTGCATAGGTCACGTGATGTTCTTCTCAAGCTAGCCTATCCAGAAACACCCAACATCTATCCATCTGTCCCTCTTCAGTGATGTTAATTTATGCTCTTGTTTTGGCATCTCAAAAAATATCTTTGCGCTTCAATCCAGCACAACACTCACCCCTTGAAGCTGGTGAACGATTCCTTTAAAACAGCTAGAAGGAAGCTATTTCCAGAGAAGCAGGAAGAGGGTTTTCAGAATTCAGAGCTCAGCATCAAGGCAGGAAGAGATTTTTGAGATAATGAAACAATATTAATAATTATGCCATTAATAATACTTGTAAGAAATGCTACCATTTATTGAGCCCTTACCATGTGCCAGGCACTTCATTATATGCTTTGATGTATTAGTCTTCTATTGCTGTCATAACAAGTTGCTATAACTATAGCAGCTTAAAACCTTAGACCTACTATTTTACAGTCCTGTAGGTTGGAATTTGGTATGAGTCTTGTGGGTCTAAACCCAGAGCTGTGGCATAGCTGGTCCCTTCTAGGGGCTCTTAGGAGAGACTCCATCTCCTTACTCCTTTGGGTTGTTGGCAGCATTCAGTTACTTGGAGTTGTAGGACTGAGATCTGTTCCCTCCATGGCTATCACCGAGGGTTGTACCCAGCTTTTTTAGAGGCCACACATACCCCTCGGCCTTGGGGGACCCCTTCAGTGAGCCTCAAAGTCGGCATGATGGTTGTCTCCTAACTCATCTCTTTCTGACTGCCGCTAGAAAGGTTCTCCACTTTTTAGGACTCATGGGCTTAGGTTCCGCCCATCTGGATAATCTGGGATAATATCCCCATCTTGAAATCTTTAACATTAATCACATCTTCAAGGTCCCTTTTGCTGTGTAAGGCAACATACTCAGAGGGCCCAGAGATTAGGGCATGGACATCTTTGCAGGAGCCATTACTCTACCTACCATAGATGGATTTTCTCATTAACACAGTGATGTTGCAAGTTAGTACTGAAATCGTCCCCAGTATCCGTGATGATACTGAAGTTTAGAGAAGTTAAATGAATTTCCCAGAATCACACAACTGGTAAGAGGTTGAGCCAGGATTAACTTCAGGCAGAGGGGTTTATCTAATCTGGAAGATTAAAATTTTTATTTTAGCAGCAGAATCCTTTATCAAATGGGAAAAATCAAATACATAGAAAAACCAAATACATAGAAAAAAGATGAAAGCAAAAGCTGCTCTGGCTGAATTGAGAGTAGTAGACAGTGGGGGAGGGAAGGGCTTCACAGAGTAGAGGGCAGGCAGCTGGGGAGTCTGCTCGTGGATTTGTTCAGAACTTGTGCGTTGAGCATCTCCACGTGGTAGGCAGGATTCTGGGTGCTGATGATACAAGAGCAAATAGAACAAAGTCCCTGACTGCCTGAAAGTTACATTTTAGTGAAGGAGGAAATAGAGCAAACAAGTTTTAAAAGGAAAATTAAAATATATTAAAATTAAACTAGATAATTGCATGTGATCTGCCAGAATTAAAATAAGGCGATTAATGTGCATATGTGTATGTGCGGGATGGGGGGAGTGGAGGTGAAGGGTCGGGGGAGGAGAAGGAGAGACAGAGGAGGAGAGAGAGAGGTAGACACAGAGACAGAACCAAGGTGGGCTGGATTCTTTAGATCAGGGCTGAAGGGAAGCCTCTTAGAGGTGATGTTTAAACTGTGATGTGACAACAGGAAGGAGCCAGTCAGGTTAATATCTTGAGAAGAGCATTCCAGGTGGAAGAAGCAACAGCTAGTGCAGGACCTGAGAGCAAGAATGGGCTAGAAACAATTGGAACCAAGAGCCTACAGTGTAGCCAGAGGAGGGAGGCAGGTGATAAGGTCAGGGACAGGGAGGAGACTAAAATGAGTGAGGCTCTTTTGATTAAACGCACATCTGTCACTTGTCAAGGATTTTCTACTAGTTCTAGCTTGAACCAGGCATAGAATCCCAAGTAAAGGATTGCTGGCTTCTTGGCAGAGCCAAAGCATAATGCCCCATTGGATGAGGTATCTGTTCATTGGACAGGGTGCCAGTGCTTTTCCCCAGTTCCTTGCTAAGTGCCCAAGTGGCCTGTCCCATTAATGCACACTCGGGCACATTACGTGACAGTTGGACAGTGGCTCTGGGTAACTGTCATTAACCATGCATGCCCTGGTAAAGTTAAGCAGTTACTGACTTCATAGTTCTGATTTGCATTTTCACATTCAAGAGAGTAATTACTATACCCAGTCCCCAGGAATAATGGACAGATTTTATGTTTTGAAATCTCAGTAGGTCAGACTTCCCATTTGTAAAACTTTTCAGTTGCTCTTTTGCCGAGCACATAAAACAAATTTACTCCTGAACTGAGACCTTGTATGCCAAATTTTTATAGCCTTAAATATAATATTTTATCACTACTATAAATGGTTCTCGACCCATCTCCCACAGACCCTTCAGTGCTAAAGGCAAGAGCCTCCCTAATTCACTTGTTTCAATTCATAGAAGATTTCCAAGTTGAAGCCAGGTCATTTGGATAATATTTCAAACGTACAGGCTGCATTTCTGCTAAACATAATAAATCTGCAATTTTACAATTGGCTTGGGCAGCTAGCATGATTGTGCCAGGCTTTCCAATAAACACTCCTTCAAAACAACCTCCTCTCTCTTTCCAGACTCCCCTTCAGAACTCACCCAAACGCTCGATGTCATCCCTGAGATGTTGGGGACATGGTAATATGGAGACTACCTTTTTAGGCTGATTTATTTTTCTAGCAGAAAATCCAGGTTTATAGCAATTATTTTAGGGCATAAAATTCCATCATGATGATAAATCAAGCTGTCAGCTCTTTCTGGTCCAAATTAGAAGTTGGAGAGATGGAGGAACTTTTCTACATGTCCACCTGTGGCATCTCCAAGTCAGATTACCCATGTTAGCTCTCTGGAGGTAATGCCATATTTGTCCCTGGATTTGCTCTGATCCTGGTGACCTGATTGAATGGGAACTGCTCGGGCAGAAATGCTCCTCTCCCAATGCTCTCAGGGGCCTCCTGGTCCCTGGTGGACATGGAATAAGGGACTGGGAAGTAGACATCCCTGAGTTGCTTGCTTAGTTCATACAGAATATTATTTTCTTGTCTTACCTAGCAGTGGATAGTTTATAAACAGTCAAAACACACTGTTTTGATGGAAAAGATATGAAAAAAAAATTGGCTGCTACAGATGGCCATAGGCGCAGTAGGGAGGAAAAAAAGTTCAATTGACCCTGTAACATCACCAGTGAGAACATGACTGGTGTTTGGAGATGTTGACAAGGTTATCCCCTGCCTTCCAGCGCTTCACCTTTGGGTACTTGGCCAAGGGGTGGTAAATGAGGCATGGCTCTGCCCAGACCCATCCTGAGCCTTCGGCCGTCTCTAGCTTGCTGTGCTGCTGGGTCTCCATCCTGCTTCTCATGCCCTGGGCTGGCCCACTGTCCTGGAAGACGAACTGAGGGCTGCTGGGAGGGCTGCAGCCAAGCTTTCTCCGGTGGGAGTTGCAGGGAGACTTCATGGAAAGGATGAGACTGGACTCCTACCAAATTACCCTCCTGTTGACTGTTGGAAGGCTGGAATTTCAGACTCGAGAGGTACAGAGGCAATTTACTGACACTCGTTGTTGGCCTGAGTCTTGGAGGCCTGCCTGTCGAGCAGCTGGGTATCAACATGCAGATGCTCCCACCTCACCCACCCTCAGCTTCTCTCTGTTCTGGTGTCTGCTCTGTGACTTAAATCAGTTTTTTCCCTCCTCGGCCAGTGGAGCTTGAAGCTCTTCCTACCATCTGGTAAAGGACTGTGGAATGGCTATGTGGCGGTGGCACAGGGAGATGGAGCATTGGAGGTGAGATGAGGACAGCTAACGGTAAGTACGAAAGTCACAAGTGTTTCCTGAGTGCCTACCCGGTGGCAAGCGCTATACTAAGTGCTTCTGACCCAGTGGTAAGACCTGTGCCAGTGAGACCTGTGGCCTCGGGTCTGTCCGCAGGCCTCTGGAGGACGGCCGGTATCACAGGAAAGAAAAAGGGTGGAAATGGAGGGAAAACAAATTACATTTTATTTTGATACTAATAATAGGACCTCTTGGTTTCACTCCCTTAGAGAGACCAAGATGCAGTCATTTTTCTGCTTTTCATGATAATCTCCAGGGCTATATTTGGAGGTAAAAGGAAGGCAACTTAAGGATGTTTTCCTTTCCAAAATAGGATGAAATTAAGAACTGAGAAGTGTATGGGACTTGCCCAAAGATTTTCATTGTGGTAGGGAAGTGATGGAGATAGATCCTAAGATCTCAGACTCCATTTTCCACAGTCCCACAGAATCAAGTCAAGGTCATCCAAACTTCCAGTTACTACTGCTGGTCTCACTTTTGTTTTTGTTTTAAACTTAATGGACAGACATAAGCTGAGGTCTTGGTTGCTGAGGGATTTTAGAAATACCAAATATTTCACTTAAAAAAGGTAATTTGGCAACATTTTTGATTACTCCTAAAAACTCAAAGATCTTGTTGGTTTCTAGATAGTTAGGTAAAAGGTCAGATCCACCCTCCAGCCCACCTGCCCCTGGCCCCCCGCTCATTGGAAATTTAGTGTTGCAGACATCGCAGTGCTTTCAGGAATGGCAGCTGGGCTTCTGAACCCCTCCGCCCTGTATGCTGTGCTCAGCCACACTGTGTGCTTTTGTTTAACTAGGTTTGTTTTGGAAGTAGTTGGCTCCGCACTCTTCCTGCAAGCATACGTGATTCAGACAGCCTTGGCTTGCAGCTCAACTTCGCAGGTCAGTTACACAACAAGTAGGAGGAACTTTGATTATACTCGGCTCTGGGGGAAAATAGCGTAATAATACGGAGAGCCAAGATGATGAGCTCAGTGCTCTAGCATTGAACTTAGGATACCTTCCCACTGTGTTCTTCTCCCTCATAGCCCAAGGAATGTGAACTTGAACATAGGAAGAGCAAAGGGAAACTTCAGGAAACACAACTGAGCAGCGTAAGAATATAACCAAGAGTGAAGCAAATGTGGCAGGTTGACCCTTACACAGTTTTCACTTACATTCTCTAGGACAGTGGTGAATGAGTGCAGTCTACTCTGGAAAAAGAGCAAATGTTTGAGTGTTCCATTGGTTTGTGGCTGGGCAGTCCTAAGTTGAAATTCGCTGGAAACTTGCTGGTAATGGGACTTTGGGCAAGTTGCATAAGCTTGGTTTTCTCATCTATAAAATGAGGATAAGGAATTTGAACAGAGAGGATTCTATTGAGGAGCTGAGATCATGTTCATGAAGTACTTACCTAGCTGAGCATCTCATATGGAATGGACAGTAAGTTGTAATTCCTATGATACAACCTATCTGCCTCTGCTTCAGTTTCCATCCTCAACAAAGTATTTGCAGTGCGGTGTTGGAGTTACCTGCTTCTGTACCCATCGTAATCAACTCTGCTTGGACATTAGACTCAGTCGGAGAGTTTTGTGAAAATACTTACACCTGTGCCTCACCCCGGACCAATTAAATCAGAAACCTTGAAAGTGGGTCCCAGTGCTGCATTTCCCCATCCCCCTGGGTGAGTTTCACGTGCACCCAGGGCTGAGAATCACCACCTTTCCATTCCCTCGGGAGCCCTATGAGAGCAGAGAACATGTTTATTCACTCGACTGTACCAGGCTTAGCCTGATAGAGATGCTCAGTAAATATTTCTTGAACTAAATTCTAAAACACTGAGAGAAAAAGTTGTGCAAATTCCCAAGACTGGTCTCATGTGGGCACATTTCTTGGGCTGCAGATAAAGGCAAGAGATAGCACCGTATTATTATTCTCACAACAGGGATTTGAAAGAGCAGGGTCAAGAAAGATCAAAGTCCGTTCAGCTGACAGTTTACCTATCATGTCATTTATTACTGGTCCTCTTTTGACTCTTCTGTTGCCAAGGGATCGGAGAAGGGAGATAGCAGAATACTTTGAGAGACTCCATCAGTTGGGGGAAAAAAAATAGCAACTTCTTCAGAAGAGTTTTTTGGAGAGAAGGAGAAAGGCAGACACTGCCAAGGTAAGGTACTGGATAAGATCTGAGCAGCAGAAGAGAGAAATCAGCAAAACACAGTGGGTGTGTGTCTGGGGCTAGTTCATGTACAGACTTACAAGGTCAGACCTCAGCGTATGCCAGGGACAGTCTCAGTCGTTACCACGTGAAAATGTCTTTAGGGTGTTCATAGCATTAGTTTCTCTCTCTTTTGCAGGCACACGGCAAGTTTGCGTTTCCCCATTCTGTGATCGCTGGCAGAACCGTATGACTTGCTTTGGCCAAAAGGTATGTGAACAAGTGTCCATCCTGGGGAAACCTTTAAGAGCCAGTGTACTTTGCTTCTGCTACAACAAGGTAACCTGGGTCCTAGACTGAGGACCACACAGAGCAGAGTTCTCAGCTGACCCACGATGGAAAGGTGGCATGAGTGAGAAACAAACCTTTGTTGTTTTAAGTTCTTGAAATCTGAGGGTTGTCTGTTATCACAGCACAACCCTATCATAGTGCATACTGAGGAAAAAGAGCTTCAAAACCAACTACTTCCTCTGTGAAAAGAGTAAAGTTATGCACAAGATTGCTTGAAACTGACAGTTTAATCCCTCTGTCACTTCCCAGATGCATAAAATTGATCAAGTTTCAACACTTCTCTGATCCTCAGTTTCTCCATCCGTTAAAGTCACTGGATTATAGATGAGAAAGCACATCATCTCCGTTAAGTGTTTAGCAGAGTGCCTGGCGAGTGAAGATGCTAGATGAACATTAGGTTATACAGTCCTGTCATTGGTGGAAGAAATGATGGGAAAGCAGAAAGCAGAGACGTATGCAATAAATACTTGCTAAGCGAATTAATCTAGAAAGCCAGGATAAATAAGGGACCACGGAACTGCAAATTTTGTCTGCAAATTCTTCCAACACTGTGCTCTTTTTTCTTAAAAGTTTCTTTCCTTCTAACCCCCCACCTTTGACATATGGTATCATTTAGAAAATGAGGGGAGAGGGAGGCTCTAAGAAATGAAAAATATGCATCTTGAACTTCCCCATCTGTCTGTGGAAACAATGGTGGCGAGCCACCTGGGTCATGCACTAAGGTTGGCTGGACAGTGAGTGATGCAGTAGGTCACCGGAAGTTCCTTTATGAATGTCAGGTTTCACTTTCACAATCAGCAACTTCTTTCTAATTTAAAGGAGACACCAGGCTAGTACACATTTTATTCTGCAGTGCCTTTGATTTGGGAGGTGTTGAAAGACTGTTCTTGTTCCCCTGAAAGTTTGTGGAAGAGGTCCAAAGGGAGAGCTGGATAAAAATAAAATAAATAGTGATCTGTGACTACCAGATTTGATTGGAAAAACCCTGTATGTCTGCTCTGTTGGAAGACTAAAATAGGAACTTGATGTCTCAGATGTCTCGGTATTTTTCCTTCTATAAGCAAGATCTCATTCCTTAATAGAAAATAGAGAAGCAAAAGTAAATGAGGTTGGTTCTCTAATTCCTGAATCTGAAGCTTGAATTTAATAACATGGGTCAGGGTGGAGAGAGCTCACCTCATATTCACATGGAAAAAAGAGGGGTGTCTCTTGCCAGTCATACCCTTATGATGGGATCCACTTTCCAGAAAGCAAAAGAGTTCCTATGAAAGTGAATGAAACTAAAGGCAGGCAAAGTGGCAGCGAGGAGTCCCGGGGTAGCTGGAAATGTGCCCACCTACTCTCCGTACGGCTGCTACAGAGATGTCCCTATCTGCTCTGCTCCATCTCAGAACATTCCAGATACAGATCCTAAAGGCTGGGGAAGGGCAGTTCAAGATGCATATTTCAGATGAGCAGTGACCCTAGATCGATTTGCATGGCTGTTAGGAACAGCTTTTCTCTTGGGTAAATTCAGTTATGTCATCTGGGCATGAAGTTGTAGCCAAAGTACAACAGCTGTGGTGTGTAGAGCTGAGGAGAGGGGCAGATATGAGGCTTTCTTTTACCTTCTTATTATTCATAAAGCATGATACTGTTTGCTGTAGAACCAGAAGAGAAGAACATCAGGTGCGTGGATAGAATAGTCGTAAGACACATGGGCATTGGCCTTGGGCTATCCAGAATCCAGTCCTGATCCTAATGCTTAACCAGTCTCCTTCCCTTATGTAAGTTGCTGCACTGTTCTGAGCTTAATTTCTTCATCCAAAACTTGAGAACAATAATTATGTTTACTTCTTAGAGTTAAGTGAGGTAATAACACGAGTAAATGTTCAAGAATTGCTAGCAATTAGGTTACTGTTACGGTTTTACGTAGTGATGGGAAAGAGGGGCGTTGGTAGGTCCATTGTAACTTTATGTCTTTTAAAAGTCAGATTTATTGAAATATAGTTTTCACAGTGTATCATTTGCCCTTTGTAGGTGTGCAGTTCTATGAATTTTGACCAGTCCACAGTCATGTGATCACCCCAGTTAATCAAGATACAGGACGTTTCCAACGCCTCACATAGCTCCCTCATGCCCCTTATTATTATGGAGATGTGATCATTATGAACTGAAGTCCATAATGGATTCAGATTTCTCTAGATTTTACCTGTTGTCTTTCTCCTGTCCACTATCCCACCTAGGATACCACACTATACTTAGCTCTCATGTTCCCTTTGGCTCCTCTTGACTGTGACAGTTTCTCGGACTTGGCTTGTTTAGTTTTGAGATATTTTATAATATATCTCTCTATTGGAATTTCTGATGTTTTTCTCATGGTTAGATGGGGTTATGGGTTGAGGGTGGAAGACCATAGAGGCAAAGTGCCATCCTGATCCCATGATATCAAGGATTCATGCCATAAATATGATCTGTCACTATCGATGTTGCCTGGTAGTGCTTGTCAGGTTTTTCTACTGTGAGGTTCTCTCTTCCTACCTTTCATACAGTACTGTAGGGAGGAAGTCACCATGTGCAGCCTACACTAAGGAGTAGGAAGTTACGCTCCACTTCCTGGAGGGAAGAGTGCTAAATAAGTTATCTGGAATTATTTTGCACCAAAGATTTGTCTCCTCTCCCCTATTTATGTATTTATCCAGCCGTTTATTTATATCTCTATGAATTCATGGATTTTTATTTTATACTTTGGGTTATAAGACAGTGCTGTTTTCTTTATATTGTTGCTCAAATTTGTTCCTGCTTTGGCTGTTGGGAGCACTTTCTTTTGTCTCCTGTGTCCCTTTGCTGTACCTCCGTCACTGTGGATTTTTTTCTTTGAACACTCTTAACTTTCTGTCACTACAAGACGCTGCAGCTCATCTTGTATATTTCCTGTCCTGGTTCCAGCATCAGTGAGTTCTCCAAGGAGCCTTGGTATCTTTATTGGAGAATGGTATTAGGAGTCAAGATCTGGGCACTAGGTGTGCTTATTGCTATTGGGGTGTTTCTTCTGGGCCCTCTTGGCTGACAGAGCACAAAGTTTTTCCCCTCCAACTTAAAAAAAATGTTTTTTAACCTACAAAAAGCCTGAAGTAGTACAATGAACAACTTTGTGTGCTTCACCTAGATTCTTTTTTCTGCCGAACCATTTGAAAATAAGTTGTAGACATCATGACATTTCATCCCTATATACTTTTTCATGCACCTTCTAAGCAAAAGACCTACTCCTACTTAGTACAACACAATTGCCACATTCGAGACAACAGTAATTCAGTAGTATTATCCAATTACATTCAGGTATTCCTACTGTTCCCAAAGTATCTTTTGTAGCTTAAAAAAAATCCAGAGTCTAATAAATATCTATCCATTTTCTTGGTTAGTTTATCTCCTTATTCTCTTTTACTTAACTCCCTTACTTAATTTTCTAAAATTACATTGAATTGTTTTTAAGAGTACAGGTCAGTTATCTTACAGATATCCCGTATTCTGAATTTATCTTATAGTTACCTTCAGGCCAAATAAGAATTTTTCAACCTCCGCATTAACATTTTGGGCTGGGTAATTCTTTGTTGTATGGGGCTGTCCTGTGCATTATGCAGAATGTCCAGGAACATCCTTGGCCTCTGCCCACGAGGTGTAAGTAACAACTCCCCAATTGTGAGGATCTAAAATGTCCCAAAACACTGACAAATGTCCCCTGAGGTCATAGTCACCTCCAGTTGAGAATGGTTGGTCCAGCACTTTTGTTGAGGCTACTAGGTGAGGTTGTATACTTGTTAATGTATCAACATCAGGAAACACGTGATGTCAGGTTGTATGGAACTAATCACGGTGGTGCTAACTTGGTTAAGTTGGTAACCAGCAAAACTCTCCATTGTAATTAACTAGTGGTTATGGAAATATTTTGAGTCTGTGTGATTATCCTGTTCCTGAGCAATTTTTCACCTAATGATTTTAGCATCCACTGATGGTTCTCCCTTGAGTCCATACACTAGGGGATGAGAAATGATGATTTTATAATTATTTCCTGGCCCGTATACCAGGTGACGTTTTCCTATAAAGAAGAGCTTTCTCCTTTATTCTGTTATTCTCCTCTCTTCCTTTCTCTCTTCTTTAAATATCATTCTTGAGGCATGAATTATTTTTATTAATTTAATTGTAATTATCATTTTTTTGATGCTTTAATTGTCCCATATTGGCCAGTGGGATCCCATTCACACTAATTACTGCATCATTTGTTAAGAATATGTAACCTACTTTCATGATGCAGATCAAAACTATGTAGAAAGTTGTATCTTGAGAAGTCTCACTCCCATTCCCTTGACCTTTTTTTCTATAGGTAAGCATTTAAATTACATTCTGATTTATCTTTTCTGTGTTTGTTATTTAAACGTAAGTGAAAATGTATATATACACACATATATTTTATTTCACTATCTTTTCTTACCAGAAAGGTAGCATACAGTGTACACGTTTTTTGCACCTTGCCTTCTGCTTAATGGTGTATCATAAAATCACTGTCAGTTCCTATAGACCTTTGCTGTTTTATGGCTGCACTGTACTCCATTCTGTAAGTGTACCTTAGTTGATTCAGTGAGTTTCTTCCACGAAAAGGTATCTGGGCTGTTTAAAATAGTTTACACCACAAATAATGCCACAAAGAATAACATTGTAAATATGCTGTTTTGAATTTGTGAATGCATATCCTCAGGATAAATTCCTATAGGGGTGTCGTCAGGTCGGAGGATAAATGTATATGAAACTGTGTTGTATCACACCAAATGTCCTTCCACAGTGGTTGTGCCACTTTGTCTTCCCGTCAGTAATAAATACGAGTGTTTGGTTTCCTACAGCCTTGCCGTACAGTATGTTGTAAGCTTTTGAAATTCTGCCAATCTGATAGGTGAGATATGATATGTTGCAGTACTTTTAATTTGCATTCCCCGTGTGATGAGCAGTTAAGCATCTTTTCTTAGGCTTAAGGGCCATTTGTTTCTGTGATTTTAAAAACCTGTCTCTTTCTTTATAACTTCCTGGCTCTTACCTTAGATCAGGCTCCTGTTTCTTCATACCTGCATTTCTGAAAGAGTCTTCTAGCTGGTTTCCCTGCCTGCAACCTCGCTGCCTTTCAGTTACCCGGAACACACTTAACATAGTTACCAAATTTTAAAACACCTCTTCTAGAAACACTTTTTTTCTATAAGAACCTTCAATTATTCCCTTTTAGCCACAGAGAACTTTTAAACTCATGAGTCCAGAATTCAAGTTACGATTTGCAACCACTTCTCCAAACTTCTCTTCGCCTTTTCCCTTGTATTTGTATTCTTATGTTTATTTTTTCTGCAAAATTGGTATACTCAGTGTCCTAAAATCCATGGCAGAAATTCTTCCCTCCAAGCCCTTTTTCCTGCTATTGTCCAGGTCCAAAGCCCCTCCACAATGCAGCCCTCCCCTCTTATCTGTCTACACTCCATGGAAACTCTAAGGCTCATCTCAAGTTCCATTTTCTTGGAAGCCTTCCTTGATCATTTCTATGCCTAGGGGTTCTCCCCTTTTCTAAATTCATTTGGTATGTATATTTACCCCCTTATTTGGCACTTAATTTAAATGGCCTCTTTTTTTTTTTTTTGCAGTTACTTAAAATTTTCAGATTTGTATATATTTTCTGCCAAGAACTGTCACTGTGTTAGTAGGCAAATATTAATCAGTTTTCATCATCCATTTCTGAGCCAAGATAAAGGCATATGAACCTCTATTTTATTGGTAAGATAATGAAGGAAAGAGATCTTACGCAGTTTGATTAAAATCAGTCATTAAGTCAATGGTGATGTAGGTATGGGCCCCAAATCTTAGGTTATCGTCAAGTATCATACCTATTACCACACTCCCTAAATTGAAACAAAAAGGGTGCCTTAAAATATTAGGTAACAATAATTCCATTTGTTCACCCTCTCAATTAATGAAGAAATATAATTTAGAACACTTAGATTCATCTTAATTAAAATTTCCATTCAAGATACTGGTTAGAGAGACAAAGTATTTGGCATCAAATCCTCTTGGAGCAAAATGGTATTACGTAAAATCCTATCTGTTTGTTTTCATGCTGTTAAAAGGCCCATAAACAATGTTTGATTAGAGAAAACATCATATCTAAATCCCTGTGTATCCTGAGCCATGCATCTCTGCTTTGAATTTGGGCAACTCTCCAATTCAACAGACATGTATAAATTTATTGTGCACTTATTGTATCCCAAGCCTGCTGATAGTTCTTGTGGGAGCAGAGTGTGCTTAAATCACAGAGCTTGTTCTCAGGAAGTTTACTGTCTAGGCAGAAAGATGCGTACACACCAAATATTACACAAATCAGCTATAAAAAGTCTTATCCCTGGCCCACAAACAAGGGGGAAAAAGAAAAAGAGAATTAATTCTGTTGGAAAGATTAACAGAGTTTTCAGAAGTAAGGTGATAATTGGTTTCAGCCAAGGCAATCCAAAAATAAACATATAGAGGCTTTAAGAGACATTTTCAAATTTAAAATCAGAAATTATCAGCATTTAGAATGTTCCAAGTCATCCTCTCCTGTAATCACACTGCTATGTACCTGTCTCTACTCGGGCAGGTTGATGTATAAGAGATTTGCTTCCAGATCTGTCACTGTGGCAGTGGAGAGGGCCTAACAGCAGAATCACAGTCATACCACCTTTGAATCCCAGTGCCGAGGCCAGCACCCTGCACACAGTACACAATTAAAGTTTCTTAAAGCATGGGCTATTGCAATAGCACTTTGTACAGAGTCAGTCAACTGTATAATTTACGTCTTTTTGCAGGTTGATTCTTTGGGATTTTGTGTCCCCAGACGGCTGGGGTCTGCTGTGGAGTTCGTTTTCCAGGGGCTACAGCTCAGTCTCATCTTTAGCCACATTTG